ATTCTGGTAATCTGGACATATATAGAATTTTCAAAATTTATTTATTTTTAATTTTCATGCTGCAGCTTTTGAAACATTAACCACATTGATATCCTGAGTCTTCCAGAAGGGGATGACCTTGGTACTTAGCTTCTTAAACAGTCATTAGACTATTTTTAAAGATGTATTTGCTTGCAGAAAACATAATAGATGTAGTATTTTGTTTACTTGCCAAGTGCAAGTTTAATTCTATCTTAGGTTTTGGTTTGGTTTGTTATGAATTTCGCGCAAAACTACACGAGGGCTATCTGCGTTAGGCGTCCCAAATTTAGCAGTGTAAGAAATCTTCCCTTTATTTTTCAACAAAGAATGCTCCTAATATTTGTTTCGAATTATTGTTTCTTAGTACTTATATGGTTGAAGAGTATAACCTTGAAAAATAAACTCGTTTCTTCTAAATATTTCGGGTTAATACTAGGGGGAGCGTATCTCATCATAGTAGTCGATACGATACGTACCTATGTATACAGATACAGAAGTTTTACCATCGGTTTGTTACAAAGTTTGTCAGCCTTATCTGTAATTTATTATCTATATTACTAACATTGTTTTATTTAAGTACTTCACAATTTATAGGGCTTTTCCAAATTCTCAGGTTTGATCAAGTAAATGGCAGCTGGCAAGAGAAGTAAAATTGTTTGTTTTGAATTTCGCGCAAAGCTACACGAGGGCTATCTGCGCTAGCCGTCCCTAATTTAGTAGTGTAAGACTAGAGGGAAGGCAGCTAGTCATCAGCCAACTCTTGGGCTACTCTTTTACCAACATTATAATGCCCCTACGGCTGAAAGGGCGAGTATGTTTGGTGGGACGGGGATTCGAACCCGCGACCCTCAGATTGTGAGTCGAGTACCCTAACCACCTGGCCATGCCGGGCCGAGAAGTAAAATATAGTTAACATCTATTTTGTTATTGTTAATTTTTGTTATGTTACTTTATACGTAATGTTTTTGATAAAAGAAATGATGACAACATGTAGTACTCGATACCCATCTTCCTTTCTCGAATCATTAATTTTTGGCAAAAATAATTTATTAGAAATTCTGATTTTTTCTGTACAAAAGACTTATGATGTCTACTGAAAGCTTGCCAAATTTCGTGATATATCGTATCAGACGATGTATCTATACAATCGTATCGTATCTCTGTATCTCCACACCTTTAGTTAATATGTAATCAGAGAAACTTGTTCCTGTGGAGAATGAATGCTGTATTATCGATGCTGCATTGTTGTAACCATGGTTATAAAAACTTGAACCGTTGCTATGTTACTGAAAACAGAGCTTTCGTAAGATATTGTCTTTGAGACGTGTTATCTTGGGGGAATAGTTCCAAGTTATCAGCAATGCTGTGTTATACGTTGTAATTGTCTATATAGATACCTGAACCGTTACTATGCAACCACAAGTATTGCTATTGTTCCCAGCCTTTGAAGATTTTCGTTCGCATTCGAAAATTATGTTCTGCGGGGGAAAAAAAAGAAAAAGTAATGTATAATACTACTATTTTAGCTTAGCCAGCAGTATATATTAATTTAGTATACGATGAATACTTTTTGTTTAGTATAATTGTTTTAACACTCACCCTCACAAGCGCGTCGCCAACAGTTCAAAGATGGGAAGATAAATGAGAAGGCTAAACTATCAGTGTATATATAACAGTTGGAAACTCAAAAGTACATGTTATGTCAAATTTTGTATTGAAATTAACTCTGCCAACACATGGAAATATGAACACAGGCAGTAGTGTATGCCTGTTTACTGGTATCGACGAAAAATGTTTATAGCACACAAACCAAGTATGTTTGTGTGAACGTGACTCTCAGTTTTAAAAAAAAAATCAGGTTATGTCGTTTCTATGGAAACTGTTACCGGGCAACATATGGTAAACCAAAGCAAACGGGTCACGGCTCTCAGCTGAACGTAATAACCGATCACTTACGTGTATTCAGTGATACTTATTAATGTATGAAGTACTATATATATATAGTGTAAAGTTTTTTACGGTTCCGTTTTGAGTGAAGTTATGTGTAGTTTAATTTTAATTCGTTTTCCTAATAAACGTATACGACTCCGACAAAAGTTGTTTATCCGGAAAACAAAATAGTAAATTCGAAATATTTTATTTTCTTCTGAAAATAGTCAGTTTTTCTCCTTTTAATTCATAATTTTAAATACAGTCACTTCATGTGATAACTTTAGGGGTTTTTCGACGTTACGTCATATGTTAATTAATGGTAAATAATTAAAATGCTGAAAATATTCATTGCTGTTTAATAGTGTCATTCCAAAAAAAAAAGATAAATAATAAAACAGCTTCCCATATCGATTCAACCGACCGCATTCCTATGGTAAATAATCCTGAGTTTCCGATTTAGTTGTACTTCTCATGTGATGAATTTTCTAACAACACCTCGTCGGGGTCCGTGACTTAAGATCGCTCTAAAAACGAGGTAGCTTTGCAGACGATTTCACTATAAAATACTAAATCACCAGTTTGTTTAGCACATTAATTCGGTATCCATAACATGTTTTCACTATTTGTATGGTATCTTTCTACTCTTTGATTGATGACTTTGACTTGATACATATTTTAAATTACTATAACCTAAGTAAAGCAACTTTAATTTATGTTGTTAAACTTCTAATTTAAAGCTATTTATTAATTGGCGCGGCATGGCCAGGTGGTTAGGGCGCCTGACTCGTGTATACCTAACATTGTCTTGCATTAAACCGACTATTAATGTTGATAAAGCTATACCTACCTATTAGTTCAAATGATGGTCAACGTTTCAACTGTAGTCTTATTCAAAAAATGAACATATTTATCTATTCTAAAAGTGGTAAGAGAGTAGCCCAAGAGTTGGCGGTGGGTGGTGATGACTAGCTGCCTTCCCTCTAGTCTTACACTGCTAAATTAGGGACGGCTAGCGCAGATAGCCCTCGTGTAGCTTTGCGCGAAATTCAAAAAACAAACAATTGCACCCTACGTCTTCATCCACATTCTTTTTTTCTTTTTTTTTAGTTCTTTGTATACTATTCCGAATCAGAAGCGTATGAAATTAGCATTTTAGATATATCTTTCGGTTGTTTTTTTTGCTCACTGATTTCACCAGTTCAAAGAGATTTGTTTAGCCCAGTGGTTCCCAACCTTTGCTCCACCAAGGACCCCTTTTATTATCCTTCCCCCCCCCTCACGGACTTCATGTTTTTGAAAGATTCCGCCTACCCAACAAACTGTTTTTATTAACTCGTTATCCCACTTTTCACTATCAAATAAAATATATATATATAACTGAGTGTGCAATTAAAAAGAACATCAGTATTAAAAACTCGTTTAATGAGATGGTATTACCTACGCTGAACCCAGGTTGGGAACCACTGGTTTAGCCCGTAGCTTTCAAGCCGATTAACGTTTCTTACCCCTGGTGGAGGACTGCTTATCAGTACGAAGGCTAAGGAATAAGAATATTTTTCTCTCTTTAAACGAAACCGATCATGCCATATAAACTATTCGTACATATTTTCTACTTGAATCTAAAAGAAACAAACTTAAGCACGTGATCCACTTTTTGTAAGCCTGAAAAGCCTTATTGCGCATCCACTTTGGCGCCTTACAATACTGTGACAAGTTTCTTTTTTTTCTGTATGAAAATAGTACTTTAGACATACTTTTAGTTGTCACAGTTCCATTTCAGTTGATGAGTTCTGGCGCTTCTGCTGGCAGTAAGTAGTCTGAGCTTACATGAAAATTAAAATATGTATATTTTTCTATTCAGTGCTTTGATAATATTGTTATTGGCTGAGTTGTAATGTAAAAAATCACTGAAACGCTTTGGACAAACATCAGTGCCCACTTGTTAAATGCAAGCTAAATGATATGAAAATGAGGCAGAACAGATTAATACAGCCTATAATGTACTAAAGTACTAAATATCCAGTGAAGTTTCAAACTCAAACTAGAGAGGGCGCTCATTGTCTTACATAGTAGTACAATGGTAGAAGTTATTTTATTTTATTCAGAGATAATGAAATACGCGACCTTTGATTCACTCTCATTAAAGCCTAATGTTTTGTTTCCAGACAGTAACGTAGCTTTTCTATCAAACGTGGTCAGAATTCGTAAAATATATTTCTGGAAAAGATGAAATACAGCAATACATAAAGCCGGATATTCAGCGGAGGGACATTACACGATTTTTGACTAACTTTATTCACGTGTCTGAAGTACAAAGAATTTCATTCAATCACTAATATATTCACAGAATTGTTCGCACCGCTGTAGAAGTAGTAAAAGGAATGCAAATAAAAAATGTTTGATTCGCTAGTTATTCCATGACTTCTATCTGGCGAGTTTAAGTCATATTTTGTGGCAGTTTTACTTTCCGTGTAGTTTAATGATTATTGAGAGCACAGGGATCGAAATCCGTCTTTAAACAGCGGCGGAAGCGTTATAATATGACGACCAAATCCCACTGTTCGTTGGTAAAGAGTAGTCCACGAACTTCGAAATTAGGACGGTTAGCGCAAATAGCCCTTGGGTAGCTTTCGTAGCACAAGGACTTTATAATGCTTCTATACTAACATGAAGTGCATGAATTGTGAAATACACACACACACACACATATATAAGCATTTATACGAAGTGGTAAAAACTGTAATACGTAGTTTACAATTATTTATCATGTATCCATGCACAGTTGAAAAGTGAGTTGCCATAGCAACGCAGTGTATTCAAAGTTGTTCTTCCCGTGTTGTGTTTACTTTCCACTCCCCAGATTTATATATATATATGTATATTATTTGATTTAAGTTAAATATTTCATGTTGTCCAACAGTTATCAACAGGAAAACATCTGTGTTTAATAAATTGTTCAGTTTAACACTACATGCCCGAACTCTCGGAACTGCGTTCAAAGATAGCGGTGTTTAACATCCTATTCATGATAATGTTTCGCCCCACAGCGTTTGGCTGTCGTCGTCATGACAACGCAGAGCTTCGTATCAGACATGCGAGTTCTAACTTCAAGCCGGGTGCAAGTTAACGCACCAACAAGTCAACACCAGTCGCAGGCATCCAGTCAGTCAAGTCAAGCCCAGGTAAAATGTATTTTGATATTATTTTGTTGAAAGCATATACTTTTATAAACAAATTCAAGGAAAAAAATGTTGTTATAAATAAAAAAAATGTTCCGTTCAATCATTCGTTCATTTTTTTTAGTATTTTGAAGCTAAGTTGGAGGATTTTTTATGCATATGTTTTATTTTACTTTACGATATTAAAAGTGAAGTTGCTAAAGTTAGAAATAAGTTATTTTATAATCTTCCCTCAGGGGGTCAGTTGTAAGCTTAAAACGCTAAAATTCGACACAGTGTAAATACCCTTCCCCCCTATGGCGGGCACAGCACAGATAGCCCATCGTGTAACTTTGTGCCTTTCTACAAACAAGCAACCAAACGAAACAAAAAGCGTAAATATCTCATTCATTGTGATAGCGTGTTGTTCGTAGAACGTCTGTACTTTAGAATAAACAAATTAATCATCAGATCTATATAAGTATAAATAATATTCATATAAAAATATTATGCAAAGCATAGAGGACAGTGAAAGACCTTAGTGTATAAATCAAATGAAATTATGTCTGATGCTAGTAATAGTTAATATATAAAAATGATACATCCACCTTACGTTTAATTCTATGCTTATTATTACGCCTATAAACAAATTACCGTGTAAATCCAAAGATGTTTCGCAGTTAACGCGCGGACGCTATTTCTTTCATACATTACACGTTTTTTTAAAGTACTATATCGTCTTTGTAAGTAATATTTATGGAGTTGAATTTTCACGAACTGGATATACAAGTTTTTGTCCGGAATGCTGAGGGAAGACAATTTTAACGACCATTTTAAAATTTTCAGTGTACAGAGTTAGCAAATAAAACACCAAAGAGACATAAAACGTGAAGCGTTCATGTGCCTAGTTCAAATGTTATTTGTTTATTTTAGTACTAAAATAAACAATAAGCTATCTGTGCTCTGTCCACCGGTTCAGTATCGAACCCCCGATTTGATTAGTGTTGTAATACCACCGGCGGACACAACTTAAAGTATTTGTGAGCTTAGACAGAAGTTTGCTTGTTTGTAATTAAGCACAAAGCTACACAATAGGCCATCTGTGCTCCGCCCACCACGGGTATCGAAACCCGGATTCTAGCGTTGTAAGTCCGCAGACATTCCGCTGTGCCACTGGGGGGCTAGACAGAAAGAAGTACAGTTACATTTGATACAACGCTATCAGAACATTGATGATAAAAAGATATATATTTTTATTTTCTTTTTACATTTTAACTGATTTCAATAGAAGTTCGCGTAGTATATAATTTTTGTGGCATTTGAATTATTCAAAAGATCCCATTTTGTAGATTTTGTGCAAAATTACGATTTTCGTACACTATAGTTAATTAGATTAATAAGCTAAAGAGCATTTGTAAAACTGAACAACATATTTTATACGTGAACTAAGGAACGATGTTAGACTAACATACCACCTTTACCCCCCCGCTGGCTCAGCAGCAAGAGTGGGGACTTATAATAGGTTTTTTTATACTCACAGTGGGCACAGCAAAGATAACCCATTGTGGAGCTTTGCGCTTAACAACACACACAGAGCTTTTATATCGTCAGACTGTGAAGATAACTGTTAAAGAAAATTAACACTTGGAATAACACATTATATAAGAAAGACTACATAAACCTTCGACAGTCGGGCATAGTTGACAATGCAGAATATGAGATGCAAAGGTGTATTTGTGTGAAGTAAAAAATATTCTAGAGGATTCAGTAAGCGTGTATTACATATGTATTATAGAATACTTGTGAACCGGGCGTGGCCTAATTTTTGTATATCACGGACTATCCATTCGACAGTTTAAGTTGTCGTCTCGTTATCGTAAAAATATGCTCTGTACTTCGTGCCGTGGGTGCACTGTAATTGTGACGCTCAAGTTCCACCGTTCTGTCACATAAGAAAAGCTCAAAAATTGGCGGTGGGTGCTGTTTACAAGCTGCCTTTCCTCTAATATATCAGTTCACAAAAAGGGGGACACCATTGTGTAGCTTTACGCGAAAGTATGAAACAAACAAGAATATTTGTGTCTTATGTAACCATGGCAACATTTTTTGTGCACGAGAAACGATATTTCATTTGGGATTTGTAATTTTTTAATTGGCTCAGTAATATTACGCAGGCGTGTTGGGGAAGTTTATAATTTGGTTACGCTCTGTACATATTTTCCCTTTATAATAGTTTTCTAAGCAACCAATATTTTATGATATCTATTCGTAAAACATTATATGAATGTTTGCCATGTAACTTTTCATTTACAATAACTTATCCCTTTTCATCTTGTAGTTTACTTGCTGTTTCTTTAGTGTTCACCATGTGCACGAATCAACGTTAAATTAAATGAACATCCCAGTTTGTACCCATAGCAACAGCAATAAAGTTGTTGCCGTAGCGTTGCTAGGTGAAAAGAATGAATGCATGCTTGTTTCTAGTGTATACTTGATAACAAGGGATGGATTATTTGAGGTGATACTGAAAAACGTTCAGCAGAGCAGGTAACTATGTTTACAATCGCGGAATTATTAAATGAGAGGACAAAACGACATGTTCAAACCTCATGGAATCGTGTATTGTTCAACTAACCATTGCAAGCGAGTAGGTGCTGTTGGTTTATAAATTGTAGGCCTATTCAGGCTTAGTTACTAAATGAACGTTTAACTTCCCCGAAGAGTCGTAGTTTGAACAATAAAACATTGGCATGGATCCAGTAAAATATTCAGTTTCTCTAAATATTAATAATAAGTCAGATATGCACTAAACTATTGAAATTTGAAGCCAAAGACAGAATGTATGTACACTTATAATTCTAATACTAGTTTAGACTAGAGAGAATAGTGTGAACTTTGACATCTCCACAGTGACTTTATCTAGTTGTATAGTTAATAGTGTATTATGTATTGTAGAGGTTCTTTTATTTTGATAGTAAGTATATTCAAACGTATGATAAATAGTTAAAATGACTTAAAAGATGATTAATCCTATTTAATCCTATTTTTAGTCATTTTTAGCTAAGCTATCTTACACTCAACATAGCTTGAAAACCTAACTTGTTTTATACAACCATGAAGACCCATTGTGAATACTTAACAGGTAAAACCAAAATATTTGTAGTTAGTGAAACACAGAGGTTCTTGCCAGGTTTCAGGAACTCAAGTATCTAATCAACCATCAGTACCTGTGGACCAAAATCAGCAGCCATCAGAAGGCTCTAGAGCCACCATAACTGTAGCCGTTCCTGCCTCCGTTTCTGTGGTAGCTCCTACACAACAGCAGACTTCTAGTGTTGTAGTTCAAGCAAGCTCTACTGGCGGAACTCCACAGTTTATAGCTGTAGCTGGTGAGTTAAGCATTATTTGGTATAACAGTATAGGAACTGACAAAGTGAGTATTTTGTAAGTAAAATTAATATTATTAGAAGCTTCACATTGGTTTATTGCAAGGTAGATTAGGGCTATTTTTATATTGTCGCACATCTAAGTTGTATATATTCCTGAAGCACACTTATAAGCTTTAATAAAAACAAAATTAGATATGTTTTTAAGTGAAGAGACAGAATTTTTTTTTTAATAAACCTATGTTTAGATAAGTGACTGAATGTATTTTTATTATCTCTATATTTTAAGTATTTTTATTTCAGTAATGCATATTTATTTGTTCTTTAGTAAACAGTTGAAGGAATTCACCTTATCCACATTTTCTGTTTTGTATTATAATTTTTTCAAGTCTCTCAATCAGATGGACAAACACAAGGTACTGTGGCTCTTCAGGCTACACAGCCCACATTTGTGCAGTATGTAGATGGAGGAGGTGATCCTGGAATGTTTGGAGGAACAAATACATCAATGTATGTATTTTTAACAATCTTTTGTTCTAACACAAAAGACATGTTTTTTCTTGTATGTAAGGTTAATTCATACATGACAGAGCTTTTGAGATACAACTACTTTATAACTGAAGTTATAATTCTAAGAAACAAAGAAGAACACGTTACAATATGTTAACCTTACTACATCGTATCAAGTGCTGGTGAGACCTTTTGCCCAGTGCCAGAGCTCATCAGGCTGGTTAGGATGACAGACGTAGTAATGGTCTAAGCTCTCTATATATATTCTATACTTTCATGAACAATGACTGTTATGGTATGAATCAGATTGAGTATGTGAATTGTAATTAGCATCAATTTTGTTTAAGTAACTTACTAATCTGATTTTCATGGTCAGAATTAATAACACAACATTATTTATTTTTAATTTTAACACCAGTTATTTATTTATTTATAATTATTATTATTTTAATGAACTTGAAGTTTAAAAATATGTCTTTCACTTGTTTTTCGTTTAGGATTTTTTTTGTGTAAGGCATTTTAATGCTTATTTTTTATTGTTATCATTGATTTTTAATTAAAAAATTGTATATTTCAAGTCAATGATTCTATTTATTTATTTAAAACACTAATTCTTGATTCAGTGAAATTGAAAAATGGGTGTTGTTCAAACTGCACCAAAGTTAATAGATTTCATCATTATACTTTGACTTGGATTATTATGAGTTAGTTTCATGAAAAGTACTGTTCAGTTAACAAGGATTGTGATGTGTATGCTGCTTTTAAAATAAAGCTTGCAGGATTTTTGGAGACCTTGCTTACTTTTTATGCAGTTTGCTACTTGAGGCAATATCATAAATGACTTTTATTTCACACAATTTACTTTACACAATTTTGAATGGCACACTTCACACAGTTTTAATGAGGCCTTGGTTTTGCTTGTGAAAATAATGGTCTTTGTCAAACTTTCGTTCAACGTTTATTCTAATCTGTGCATAACACATAGTGCTTTTTATTACTGATTATTGATAATAGTAGCTTAAACGTTGTGTTTGGCTAAACAATTAACATTGCTACAAGTGCTACTACATTAAGAAATGCAACGTTTTCAAAATACACGAGGTGGTTCTCATTACGAATGAATGTTCAAGCAGCCATCACTAATCAAAACAGTGAAAATACAGCCATGTTTTCTGTTTGCTAACTTACTTACATACTAAATATAAACTTATTGTTTACCAGTTGTAAAAGCATTCAGGGTCGACATTTTTTTGGATAAGGTAATGAACCGCACCTGTGTTTTGTTTGTTTGTTTGGTTTGTTCCTATAAGCTATTGAGTTTCAAGTGTATTTTCCTGTGATTTCTCTTAGCACCAAGTAAATTATGATACGGTTATTTATTTGAAGGCATTAAAGTTTGTCTTTTTTCTTAAAACCAAATTAGTTTGAATGTGTAAATTGTTACGTTTACATTGAAACTGTTCATATTTTAATTTAACCAATTGTGGACATTAGTGTTGTTTGTACTGAGAAGATGTTTCTATTGTACAGGACAGGATATCCAGTGTACAGTGTTACTGATTCATCAACCATGTACAGCCCCGCTACAGCAGCAGCAGCTTATTATAATACTGGAACTGTTGTTACATATTCTCAGGTATTAACAAATTTACCAGTGTTTAGATTTGTCTCATAGATAGTCATATGATGCTAACGAGGCTCAAGTCATCCTATTGTACTTGGTTTTTAAACAATAAACTCACTACTTGTCATTACAAAACATGTGGGAATCACTTAAACAGTGTTTAGATTTGTCTCATAGATAGTCATATGATGCTAACGAGGCTCAAGTCATCCTATTGTACTTGGTTTTTAAACAATAAACTCACTACTTGTTGTTACAAAACATGTGGGAATCACTTAAACAATTTTTTCGTTTTGTTTTGTATTATATTATTATATTAATTTTGTATGATTCTACTTTTTAAGCCGAGGAAACTGATTTGTAGAAAAACGTAAAGGATTAACAAGGGGAGATGCTAGCTCGAAACGTCATCCTTCTTTTAATAAAAAAATATAAAAAAAACAAACTTGGCGATTGTTCAACTAAACCAGTATTTGCCAACTGTATAGACAGTTCCTTAAAGAATTCAGTTATTAACTTTTAAGTATTACAACACTCTAATGGGCTTGAGGTGTAAAATAGGAACATCCAGACATTTTCAGTATATTTGTAATATTTGTGGAACACTTGAACCTTGTTGGTTGAAACTAGGCTTTAGATGAGCTATTAACACATATTTCCTTTATCATGAGTTGTTTCTCTATTCTCATATGGTACATTATCTCTTCTCATATATATATATAGACAGGTAGAGTGCATCAGAAAAAAAGGTGTGTGATGTACAAATACTGCAGGAGACACATAAGGGTAAGATGAAGGTGGGAAAATTGGGCCTGGGATAAACAGATAGGATTGTCAGGATCAGCCCCCACCCTCCCACCCATACTGGCAGTAGTGATTATAACTGCTGAGAATGAAGAAAGGGGTAATCTGCCTGATGGTAAGCCAAAGCAAACTGATCTGTGGCCCAAGGAGGGTGAGACATGCTAGCACCAGCTTGCAACTGAGAAACAAAATGTTCAGCATGAACCCCGATATCAGGAAAATAATGGAAAACAAAATACTGAGAAGAAGTAATAGAATTATAAGAAATTTAGGAACTGGATAAAATAAAACAGATCTGAGAAATCATGTCTAAAAAAGCTGAATTAGGCCTAACAGATTCTGCAGGAGAGACATGGGAAAGCACAGCATAATCAGGAGGAAGAAAACGACTGTGAAAATCTTTGTTCAGCAGGTTCAGGAAGAAGTCGAGCACTATCAGGAGAAGTAGGTCGGTTCTGATAATGTTCAATCTCCTGATGAATTAACGCTGAAAATTTATCAGTCAAGTTCCCCTGACCTGAAACCTGTGTAATTGTGTTGATAGCAGGTTGTAGAATCTCCAAAATGGTAACATTAACGTCGGTATTCGTCATAAAATGATGAAAATATTCAAATAAAAAAGAAGAACCAAGGTAAATTATCACTGAAAACTGTAAAAAATAAACCAGTAATAAAAGATATAAATGAACTTTTCACTTCATATAATAATATTAAAGACAAAAATGCTTGATGAGAGCACAATCAAAACATGTCTTGACTATAGCACTGCCTAAAAATATGTGGTAGTTTGATAGAATCAAATAGAGGGAGTCACATGCTTCAGGAGGGTGTCACACTCCTATTGGTGGAGGGTTGTCACATGATGATTTGCATGCAAGATGCAGTTCAGCCACGATAATTGTGAGGTATGTGGGAGTGTAAGGCTTGTGGCATGCAAAAAAGATTTTTGCATATAGAAGGCAGCACTGAACAAAAATATATATATATCCTGAGGGATTTTTGGGGGGATACCTTCTCTTTCCTTGCCTGTATGTTAGTGCAATTGTCCTCCTTGGCTCTGTCTCTTCCCATGTGGATTCTTTGCTGTTAGGATCTTCTGCAGAGGGATGCTATCTTGTCCCAATTTTGTTTACTGTCCACTTACCTTCTGGACTTATGGATGACTCCTTTTCTCCAGTGGTCCATTTTGGGGAATATTGCAGAAACTTTGGAATAACGTGTAATTTGTGAGGCAACATTCGACCCTTTTGTCTTTGGTTGCTCATTTGTATCCCCCTGAGCCCTTGCAATCCCATGTTCCTGTTCCATGTTAGACACCATCTTGTCCTTTACCTGTTCCTCCCACTAGGGGGTTCCACGATTCATTATGTTTATTGACACAGATCTCCTCATCGCCAGCAGTACCTGTGACTTTACTGTGGCTTCTGGTCCAGTGGGAGCTTGTTTGACAGATTTTGTTCTCTTCTGGTAGGAATTCACTACCAATCATTGGGTTCTTAAAGTCTTTTTGGGTCTCCAGTTCCTTATCCACAAGCCTTAGCTGTTGATGTGCTCAGCCTGTATTGAACTGACCTATATTTTTATGTTTATCTTCCAATCTGTCTTCTCCACTGGGTGATTTGATCATCCATGCCACTTCGTGTTAGGTTCTTCTGATTGCTCCTTACTGGCTGGCACATCCCTGGTTTCCTCGACTACTTCAATTCCATATTCACCATCCATTGCCTTTTCCTCTCAATCCATCCCTTCATCCTGCTCTTTCTATCCTCCATTTTCACACCTGGCATTTATCAGATCTTTGGTAAGGATATCCAGATTGTCTTGGCGAGTCTTTTTTTTTTAGCTCATTCCATTTGCCCTTAATCATTGGCAGTTTATCAGTGTAAATGGATGTCTTCCACCATTGGTCTCTGAGTCAGAGTTTTTCCCCTTCTCCACCCATCGTTCCTATTATTACAGATTTCATCACTTCAATCATAAAACTTTGGTCTCATCCAATGTTGGATATTGAGCAGCTTTATCTCACACCTGTTTTTCCCGGTACCATTTTGTGTTTACCTCCACTACCCTCTCCCTTTTATTGCGTTCCTTCCGGACTTGTAGACTTCTTTGTTGAGTGGTTCTTATGAATTGGGATGTTAATGTGGTTCTTTACTGTCTTACTCTACTTCCATTTGAACCTTTGTCCTCCTCTTCTTTATTTCACTTGTCCTTACGACCTACTTCCTACTCCTGTTAGCCTGTGAACGTTGCCATCGATGTCTCGTGCACTCTGTACCATTCCACATATGTTATCCTTTACCTGGATCGATCCTTCCTTCCCAAGACTTTGGCAGCTCATGAAAGTAATTCTTCCTTCTCGCTGATTTCCCTTTTTTCCATCTCCCACTTTTATTCCTGATCTGATACGGATAGGCTTCTATGTCTCATATGTGCTGTTTGTTGTTACATTGCCCACACACGTTCCAGGGTTCTCACTCCCACATTTTCATCCCCTGGCAACATTCCTCTGTTTGTGATGTTTCTACTTCCAACATTTATTAATTGGGTTCAGCTTTTGATTCAGTTGGCTTATTCCTCCTTGTCTCCTTCTTCCCAAAATCTGTTCCAGGTGTTGTCACATAAGATCAGGCACCTTACCTTTTCCCTGATGTCTTATCTCCATCTGCCATTGGAGGAAATTCTTCAAGCGGGCATATCGACTAGAACTCATACATTCATCTCCTACTATCTGTATCAGGTGGCTGTTTCTATAGGAAAATTTTAACTTTTTGTTATTCTTATAATCCTAAAATGACTAAGGCTAAAATCAGTGTTATAAGATGGTGTACAGTGTCAAATGTATTTTCTTATTTTGACAGCTAGTGCTTGTTTAAATCTGTAGAGAGATGCTTAATAGTAAATCTCATGTGCAGAAGATTGAGAAAGTTATATTAAAACAATTTTAAATATGCACATCAACAAGTCAGATGACAGCCACAGCAATTATAAAGTTGCAGTGAAAAAAAAGAAGTTATCAGAACTACAATTTCACATTATTTTGTAAGTAGTGTGATGCGACCAAAAATTTATCACATTTGAGAAGGATGTGTAACACTTTCCAGCACAAGATATTCATACACTCAGATCATATGGTGTGTTCAGATCAGGGATTAAGAATTTCATACCCCTTCTACTTAATGGCACTGGAAAACAAAGGAATAAATAATTCACCTTGTGGAACCGGGACCATTTCGAAAGAGAGCTGCAACAAGTCATACCCCAGCCATAGTAAGCAAAGGGCAATATCTTGTAATAGGTGAGAATTCATGACTATGGGGGTCTGTGACAAAAACCATCTTGATGTTGTAGGCAACAGTGTGAAACGTAGTCAGTAAGGATCTCTGTCTGGAAAAGTGACACAAGTCATATCAATGTCATATCCAGGAAAGGAAGACCAACTATATAGAACTGTATGAGCAGTAGCCAGCTAAATGAAAATAGCAGTATGTGTTCCTTGATATCTTTGTCAAGTCTCATGCCATTTTCTACTGGTCATTATGTGTCAAATGTTTCCAGAAGTGGTACAAGTCATATCCTGAAATATTTTGAAGGGCTTCACGATTATTACTGAATTCTATGCAAGATAGGAATTAGGAGAGTGGATAGAAAGGTCAAGATGAACTTTGCTTGCTATAAGATCAATGTTCTGGACCCTTTGTAGCACACAGAAATAAGACCAACAGTGTATGGATCACCAATATGAGATTTCCATTCATACTTCCCTTTGAAATGTCACATATCTCAAGCAGCTAGAGAATGAAACAGGTATTTATGAAACAGTCAAGTGAACTATGGATTGCTATTTGATCAAACTGTTAAAACTGGTGTTGGGAAACCATTATCCATGTACTCTAGATAGATTATAGAAAGTAGTCAGTGAGGACTGGTGTGCTTTGGACATGACAGCTTTATAAATCCAGTTTTAATAGATCCTTTTGTAATGGAAATTATGCAGCTGGCCTATTGTCAAGATGCACTCTCTTCAGTTAGAGCATGGCCAAACATGGCAATATAGACTGTAAATGAACTGGTGAGGCTCCAAAGTAATTTTAATATAATGTACTCAGTTTCTGTATTTCATGCCATGATATCAACGTTTAATTTTATAAATAATCAATGAATGCTTAACTTTCAGTTCATTTTATTAAAATATAATCAATTGTTTCATTCTATTAACTGGAAAAGTTAGGGTAACAGAAAGTCTACTGATAGCTTACCTAAAACCTACTCTAAACCAACAAGCTTCAGGTGTTTCATTATAGCTACATAAAGCATGGACATAGATGATGTTATATTTGTCTTTGGTTCATGGACCCATTACTACTGAAGTTCAAATTGATATAAGAAGCAAAATTATTATTTTTCACTTCTATATCAAACATCACACTGAATTAAAAACTAGTATTCATACAAAGCAAAGTACTTTCATTCACCAATCCTAAACATATAATAATATAATACATTAGTATGGGTAAATAAAAACCATGATTCAGTGGTTACTTATTATCAATTCATAGAGCTTTAAAAAGAAGAGTATTAGCCCAATATTACATGTGTATTAAAAGAACCTCTTTGGATATAAGTATAAGATGTTTTAGATATTCTTAACTGAAATAGAGAGGATATATGTTTCAAAATTTTGCTCTTTTGAAATGATATGAAACTTGCTGGCTGATTATGCAGGTTGGAAGCACAGTTAGTGCCAATGCTGTTGGTATCCAGGGGCAACTTTTAGCCCATCAAGCAGGTGGCACCTACCTAGTTCAACATGCTGCTATCGACAGTGATGGAAATCCTCTTGCTCACACCACACGTGCCTCCCCAGCCACAGTAAGTTAACGTAGCTTTAAAATTGTCTGCCCTTTTCAGCCTGCATTTTATTGTAAGTTAGAAGGATTATTCCATCGTGGCTCTGGGACTCTGGTATTGTTTTCAAAGCTTGAGTTCGACAGAAGAAGTTATTGTATTGTAAGGTGAGAAATATGAATACAGAATCCGCATAAATTCAACAGCATCACCTTTTAATGTGCTGGTGTAATTTAGAAGCTGTATTACAAAAAAAATTGTCTACATTTATAGAATACATATTAATACAGAACTACCGTATATTTTTCGGTGTATAAGACGCACTTTTTTACCCCAAAATTTGATGTCAAAATCTGCTTGCATCCTATACACCGAAGGTATGAATAATATATATATACACACAAGCCATGTGTAAATATATTTAAATAGGCATACATAGTTTAGTTCAATTGAATGTGTTATTTATAACAATAGTAGTTTTTTTCTTTTAAAAACATAACTATTTATAATGCTCTCTAAATAATAAAAAAAT